ATACAAACAAGCTGGGTCTCAGGGAAATTGTACAACTTCTCTGCCAAGAATAAGCCAGAGGCATAATATTTGAAAGGGGCACCACTGTGCCCCTTGCTGCTGCAGAAGAGCACCATAGAATCCACACCATACTCCAGGCTGACTCCACAGGGCTGTGCAGAAGCATCTTGTGTGATGTATGCAAGGGGTTGACTGCAGGAGGAGCCTTTCACTCTGGGGAAGGTAGCTCCACAGATGTGATGTACAAAGCCCTCCTCACTTCTCTGCCCCAGTGAGAAAAGGAAGGCAGCTGGAATTGCATGGAACTCCATGATGCCAGACATGCAAGGGTCATGTGAACTCCTCAGACCAATGTAGCCAATGTAACAATGCCTACAGAGCCACCTCAGACAAGCTACAGGGGTTGGGAAGAGTCAGGGAGGAGAAGGGCTACCAACTGACCCAAAAAGTGGTCCTGCTGACACTAGGTGTCTGAAATCAGCTTCCCCTCAGAGAGACAGAGGAAAGGAGAAAATGTTGCAGAAGGGGGGTGGAGGGCTTGACATGCAATGGTTTTTTCTGAACCACCTCCAGACAGATATCTGAAGTGGAACTTTGATGATCTGAGCCAGTGCAAATGCATGTAGACCTTGTGTAGCAAGCTTGTGTAGCTAGCAATCCCCTACAGTATGAGCAGAATGGAAGCACTGAGGTATACCATGACCACATCTGGTGCCTGCATAAGCACTCACATAACACAATAGGTTTTAACTCCTCATTGAGGTGCCTGGGATTCTCTGGCTGTTGCAGATACCAGGCAAAGCCATGAAGTTGGCACTCTTTTTATTCAAACAACAAGCAATGCCAAGATAAGTGCCCCAAACCCTAACTTAGTAGGAAAACTATCCATGCCTTTGATTTCTATGATTGCTAATTTTTAGAGTGACTTGTTGGTTTTTCTCTGTACCTACCTGTCCCCTAGAAACACCTATTCATTTTGCACAGATTAATGCGCAACCACCAGATGGTAGTGACACTGAGTGGTTGCCTGGATTCAAACCAGCAACCAGGAAGCGAAAGGTTTCTCACTTCATAGGCAGCATTGGAATCTTGCATTTGGCAGGAGCACAAACATTTCAAAAGGTAAAGGTCATAGAGCACTACTGGAGGTGCATTTTGCTACTTGGTCTACCAGGCTGTTTGCAGTCAGACTCACCAGGACAGAGACCTATAAGTATCAAAAAAATGAAAACCAGTCATACAAGAGAATGTTAGCACCGAGGGGACTACAGCATACTGCGGAAGCATTAGCATGAAACAGGTTTTGATGAATGTTGCGGGGGGATTATGTATTAAACCATAAAAAGTCTCTTCCCACATAGTTCAAATTACTTTACAATTCTGATTAAAATAACAGAATATTATAGCTTGCTTAACTAAACATTATATTTCCAAATCCATTTTCAATTGTTTTCCTTCAATTTAAACATTTTGAGCAATTTTATTGCTATTCATACCTGCTGGATTTTTTTTATTAGAAATTCACACACACATTTTCTCTGGGTTATGGAGTGCTGTTAGGTTTAACTACTTCAGTTCCACAGGCTGGGTACAGCAGAGCACTCAAAAGCAGAGAGACAGTGGCTGCCATTGAAAAAAAAAAATCACCGTTTGCCAACAATAAAAAGACAGAGGTGAGAAAGAAAATTCAGGAAAAGCAATGTGACAGTCAAATTCAAAATTAAATATTCCATTTTATTCATTCATGTCCCTACGTGTCATTGTTTTTTCACCTAACACAAAAGGTCACATGAAAAGCTGCAAGAGTTTAATTTATGAAAGAAGGTAGAACAAACTGAGATGACTGAGATCAGTGAAAGAGGAGCATTCCCTGTTTCACACTTTGAACAAGGAACAGCAAGTGCATATCTGTATTAAATAAAGCACATAAAGGAACATACTTGAATAGAAGGTATTTAAAACATTGCAATTAAAAATGACTATAAGTCTAGTGTATATGCAGACAACAAAATATTACAACTTTTGAAAACATTTTTTATGATTATAATCTCTCTCTCGGACCAACTTCCCCACCCTGAGGTGAATCTCAGTGGGTGCTGTTTGCCAAATGGAAGAGTTTAATTCTACTGACATAAATCTCAATCCCACTGTCCTTATTCAGGACAGGTTCTCATTGGACTACATGGGAGACCAACCTGAATAACGATTTCATGGTTGGGTTCATGGTGTAGCATTTGCACCTGGAGAATTCCAATTCCCCTAAGTCAGCACAGCATGCACATTCAGAGACCACTAAATGCTGGTAAGTACATCAAAACATTAATTAACACAACTACATTCCCACACAAATAAAACATTAATATGGTAATTTCTAGTCTATAACCAGCTGGTATCTTTTCCCCAGCTATATAGATAGTAGGATTAACAGTGCAAATCAAGTATTATAACAAATTCCAATTAATATAACTTTTTCCCAGTTTTATAATTCAGAATCAAATGATTATTTCCTAAAGTTGCTTGACAGCATGATTTTTGGATTCTAATTTAAGGTGTAAAGTATTTTCAGGGGACTTTCTTTGCCTTGGATTCCTTAAATCCCCCAAATATTCAGTGCTAATCCTTCAACCTGGGCCAGGGTAACTAGATACTCCCAATCTGTCTCCTTTCAGCTGTCTGCCAGACCCTTCCTGTGTTTTTCTCCATAGTCTTTCCTCTCTCTCATCAGCTGTTTTATGAAAGAGTCTACTTACAGGCTCTTGCTCTGCCCTTCCATATACCCATAAAAGAGGAAGGGAAAAGCTATTTGGCTCTGGTTCATGGAAATGGCAGAAGTTCTCTGCAGGATTGGTGCTTATTTATTACTTTGATTTTTCTCTCAGGCTCTAGTTGCACTTGTCAGAACCTCATACACATATTTGACTTCATTGTCTGTAATATTTGTTGGCATCACATCCAATAATAATGCACTTCATGAACATTAACACATTATACATACATAATTTGAAAGAACTATGGGAGAGACAACAAGCAAAAATATGAGCAATGCCAGTTAATGAAAAGCTCACAATTTCAAACTACTGTTTAACTAATTAAAATGAAATTAAATGACTATAGCATTAACTATGTCAACTGTTTAGCATAAAAGTTGTTAAATATATCATACTGTATGCAGGAAGATTTTGCAACCTTTAATTGTAAGAAATAGTCGTGTACTATTTAATTGCACAACTGGATAGGATATAATATTAATAATTACATGAATCATATTTAGTAAAATATGTTAAAACATTGTTTTTAGATGGTGGAATTTTATGGATAGTATAATAGAACTGAAGCACATTCTTAATTACCTAATTATTGCCATTTTCAAAGTCCAGTTACCATCACTACAACTGGCCTTGTTTTCACAGTCCAAAGTTTAAAAAGTGACTTTTCTAGATTGATGCATAACGAGTGATTTGGGGGAAAACTTTTCAGACAAGAAACCAGATTTTAACTAAACTGAATTGAACTTGGACTTTATATGGCTCCCCATTATTAGTTTATACACATTTCTAGTTATGACAGGTACAATAAACTATACAGATAAAGCTGTAGATGCTTGGCAATGGGATACAGACATTAACTGACATGACTTAAATACGGATGAGAAAAAGTCTTTAACATTTATGGTGCTTTTTTTGTCCAAGGAGACTTCTATACAGCCACCCACCTTTGCCAGGCCTTTAAATACAAAGTCATTTTTTTTACTTCCTCCCCCCCATTCACATCCAGACCACAGCAGTCTTCTTCCACAACAGCCACTCTTCTGTCCCAATAAACTGCTTATTTCTGCCCATGTCTCCTTCTACCATACTTACTTGTGATTTTTCAAAGAAGCTAGCTGCACCAGCTGACCTCCATGACAGCCCTGAATATTGTTCTGAGTGCTCACTGCCTCTGAAAATCAGTGCTATTCCCCACCAGTAAAAGCTTTTGTCAGAAGGAGTTTTTTGGTTTACAGGATGGCCCACCTGCAATTTTGAAGACGTCTCAGAGTGGAGAAGAGACATAAGTCCTGAAGCTGCTCAAGATTTAGAGGCACAGAAACAAACAACGTAGACAATATAGCAGGAGATCTCTCACATTTTTAAAGAATCAAAAGGCTTCTTCTCATCACCGTTTATTTGCATTCTTTTATAGAGCAATGTCCATCTTTACTGCCTAATTATCAATCACAAACGTCTCCAGTTTCAAAAGGAAGAAGTCTATCTGACTGATAAAGACAACAGAGTAATAAAGAGGTATCCCTCATCCAGGGAGCTAGATACAATCCTGCGTATTTCCTAAATCACTACCAACCATCTGGACATGCAACTGGGACAACAAACATCATGAAAAAAATAGAGGTTGGTAACGAAAAAAAAGCAGATGAAAGGAAAAGCTATTGCTTTTCTTGGATACCCCTGTTTTCCGTATAAAGAGATCTAGGTAGAAAGGGAGGTCATTGTCAAAGGCATCTTTGGTATAGGCCCAATTTCTACATCTATTCATGCTTTCCCTTTTGTCAGAGGCATTTAATAGATGCCCAAGGTTACACCAAAGTATTGCACTGTCACAGTCTTCTTTCCCATATGTCTGATTTCACAGCCATTTAATACACATCTTTTCATCACAGGCAGAAAAAATTAATGGATACCCAAGGTTATATCAAAGTATTGAAAGCACCCAGACTTGTCAAAGCTTTAAAACAAAGCAAAACCTTAGATGCTAGGGTTGCAACCCAAGTACATGGTCATTTGTTCCAGGAAAGAAAGAGTCAGCATATGAAAACATTTTAGAAAAGTATCATCCAGAGGTTACTGAGTCAACTGCCATAAATAGTGCAGTCAAAGAACAAGTTGAGGAGATAACAGGACTTAGCTATATTATGCACAATGACAAACATAATAAAGGAAACATGCAAATGTAAAAGTGAACAATACAGGTTACCAATTTTATGAGAACTAATTAATACTTACTGGTACTGCAGAGAAGCTTAGCCACAAAGGACAGGTAAAGAGATACTTGGTGCAACTTACAGTTTGGGATCTCATCTCAAAGCTGCCACTAAAGGTCAGAGCATCTGGCAGCTCTGGCTGTATGTGCATTCACATAGGGCTTCCCTGAAACTCACATGATCCCCTTTCTCTCTGAAAAGATCTTACTTAGTCAGGTGACACTACCCAGGCTTCTCTTATTGGTGAAATTTAAAATGGCTTCCCTTTGGGATACTCTCTCTCTCTCTCTTTCTCTCTCTCTATCTTTTTGTGTCAAGTGCATTTTAAATTTGATTCAATGGCAGTTTCTCCAATCTTAATCCTCCTTTAGAATAAAACAACTCATTTTGCTAGCAAACAATAAGGTGAGCTTATTGCTATATTCATATAGAGGATAATTATAACATTTGTCCTTCAGCATGTGGATTCAAGTGGTTTGCATGCAACATGCATTGCCATTACACCCTGGTCAGCCAACCCTTCATCCAACATTTAAACACAGGTTGCCAGTTTCATAAGGTGCAAAGGTTTACACATGTTGAGATTACAACAGATGATTAACAGAGAAATTTTAGTTTATCACAGACACAGTGATTTTTTTCTTCATCAGATGAACTACTGTTTAAAACAGTCTTACAATCTTCCTTGTTACCTTAAATGCATGTTTATATGCGTATTTTTCATTCCTGATGAAAATTTGTATACAGTGAAAAAAAGAGAATTTTAGCATCTTCAGCACACAAACTCCAATGGGTAGTTTTACCAAAAGAGTAAAAAATGGATCGTTATGTTGTCTTTATTAGCAATAGAACTAAAGATACAGCTAAGAATCTAGACATGTAGAGGCATAACGGAGGTTTGCATTTGCAACTTCTATGACATGGGCAGATGCTAGAATCTTTCAAATGCATGAGCAATTGTTAGCACAGGCAACTGGTAGGACGGGGTATGGGTGGGGGGGCACGTACCCGCCCTGAGATTGGCCCCCGTTTTGGCATTGCTCAGGATGGCAAATCACGGCTCCACAGAGCCAGGCAGAGAGACCGTGGCACCTCCTGCAGCAGCCACAGTTTGGGCCCATTCCCCCACCTGGGGGGTGGAGGTAGCTTTACCTATGTTCCAGCCAGTGGTCCACAGTTTGAAGAGCCGGCCACTTACAGTTTCCGGTCTGCAATTGTGTCCCCCCAGACTCAGGAGGCACCAGTCACCCCTTATTGTTAGAGAAAAGTGGTAATATAGATGCACAAACAAAATTAGCCACTTGCCTGAGAAATTAGTCCCTGCTATCAATCTGGATCCAATACTCTCCCTTGTAACCAAATATATCATACAAATGATCCTTTTTCTCTGCACAACCAAACTTAGCAGGGAGCTGTTTTCCTTGGCTTATGCAAAATGGTTTTCTAGGTTTATGTAATTTAAAGCACAGGGAACCAAATGTAATATGTGCCTAACTGGGGTTGGTGTATAAGAGTTGGGTCTAAAATATATTTTAGAAACTTTGCTTCCGTGTTATTCCACTTACAAAATGAAGTAGCGCAGCGTTAATGCTGCACTGTAGCATATAAATGTCTTGATGGTGTTTTTCATTTGTTCAAGAGATGACTCCATGTAGGTCCCTTGTGGGGATCACCTCCCATTAGTAACTCTTCTATGGATTGTGACGTAATGGGGGAGAAGTACTGGAAAAGAGCCACATTTGATTGGCAGTCAGTCCCATCCCAAATCCCTCAACAAGCAAAACCTCTATTACTTTAGTTTAGTGATGATGAGTTTTAGCATCCCTAGCTACAGAAGTCCAGACTCCTTACATTGCTCTTTGCTTTAGAAACATGCTAGTGGGAAAGAAAGACTGGGTCCAAATGGCAGGAAAACAACAGGTCCTTGGGCATCCATTTATGTTCCTCATGGAGAGAGGAGGTGACATTCTCTCCTGTCGCCTAAGCAGTTTACCTTGTGTAAATAGTCAAGGGGTCTCTAACTCACATCCGAATATCACAACAAACACAAGACAGCTATTTCAACTAAAAAGGCATCATCTGTTGACTTTTGAGCCAAAATGGCATCATATATTTGAATGTCTTTTATTAAAAGCTTTTAGCTGGAGGTTTTATGAGGTAACTGACCCCTTGTGTCATTCTTATGCTAATCTCACAACACAATTTTTTTTCCGTCTGCTAATAAAAGAGCATATCCGTTCATCCTATCTTGCATTTTTTTCTCAATTGTAATCTATCACAGGCCCCCTGTGCTTGAATATCTCTGGCATTGTCTGCCTGTTCAGGTTCTCTCCTGGCTCACAAAGCACACAAAAATAAAAACAATAGTCTGCAACATGAATCAAGTAACATATTTATGTTTAAATCCACTCTGTGTAGGGGGCCAGGGATACTTGCCAAGGCTGTCAGGAGAAGACAAAGGGCCCATACCAGGAAACCACAGCTCAGGATTGGCTGGTGGGATTGTTCAGTCTCCTTCCTTCATCAGCAAGGTTTAGGGGAAGATTAGCCTTTTGCCCTCCTTGTGCCTCACACTACAAAAGCTCTTAGAATGATTTTTGGGCCTATAGAAGCCCACATGTTGTCTTACAGTCTTGCCAGTTATGTTATACCCAATAAAGTTGCTATCTATGTTCCTTTCACTTGAGTCAGAGGGAACTTCAGAAGGCAGACCTATTATGGAAGAAATCATTGCTGAGATTCGGATGAAGTCACAGCAGGCTTGCAAAATGAATGGCGGCGTTCACAACTGTTTGTTTGTTCCTTTGCTTTCTTCCTTTTTGAAATTGAAATATGTGAATTAATACCAGAAGATAATATACTTTCCCCTGTCAAAATTTATGAAATACATTCATCACAAATGAAGTAAATCTTGATGGGAAACCCTCACACACAAAGCTTCAAGTAGATGAATAATTTTTGATGAAGTATTTGATATGGAAAGTGTGCAAATCCACTTACTGCCAGAAAAAGAGAAAAGATTCTGTCTGCCCACTTAGAGCGTGAAAAAGGGCAAATACAAGGAAAGTCAACTTCACTGATTGTGTAATGATATATTCCTTTTTAGGTGAAAATTACATGTAAGGAAAAGGGAAAAGGCCAGCAGAAGACCAGAGTTGTTAGCAAAGGTGGACATGTTGAAAGCATGTTATGAGTGTACAATTAGCTGGAGTGCTATCTATTGTGCTCAGAGTTTAAATGAGTTCAAGTATTAATGCTGCTAGTTATAGTGGGATGTGAAATAGCAAACAGGAAGACTCGTGTAGATTAATGTAGCATATTTGAGCTTGTAATGTAGAAGAGCCATAGTTCCTGTTTGCAAGAATCTAAGCCATACTAGTCTACTATATCTCTGCAATGCTGACACTATTTGTTCTTGAACAATACAGATACTAGTTTCATAGGCTGGCATTTGTTTATACCATGCAATTTGTATGATATTCTATTGGGTATCACATTCACTTATGGAAAATATGATTGACATTCAACAGGAGCAAATAGGAGCCCTAATCACTTATGGCAAATTATGCTTTATTTAGCAGGATATCAGATGATGATAAAAGTGGTCCAGCTCCCACAGCAGTAAATCCACTGGCTTTGTTAATGGTAACTAACCATAATATAGAAGTGACAATCATGTGGTAAATCCAAAGTATATTTTAATTTTAAGAAAGTGGAGTATTTTATTTAAATTAATTGACTACAAAGGCATGATATAAGTTGTTAGACAAAGATGCTCTAAGCCCAGAAATATGACTTCTACTCAGCTTTGGTACTCATTCTCCCTGTAACTTGGATAAGTGACTTGTAGGTTGATTTCCCTATCTGCAAACCTGACATAATTATACTTACTGAGCTTTGTAAACATCCTTAAAATTCTCAGATGAAAAGTACTAAATACATGCAAAAGAACAGTGTTATTGAGAACACATTCTATATTAATTGTACTCTGTGGGCGCATCTACACATGCACCCAACTGTGCAGTTGCTACTGTGCAGTCATTTAGTACTTTCTTTAGTGCGTCTACATGACTAGGTTCGTCTATACGAGACACTATGTCACTGTAGCAATGAGCTATGATGTAGCATTAGCGGGCACAAACTGTAATGCCGACACTACTGTACAGACCTCTGTGCCACCAGAATTTGCAGCAACAGCGAATACTGTTTTAGCAAATAGTAAATGACTGTTCAGTAACCACTGTTACTGCAAGTCCCAGTAGCGCACAGGTTGTTTCCGACCCTACTGAGCAGTACCAATGAGCTACTACACAGTAGCTCATTGCTTCTGCACAGTAGCATCAGCATTATAGTTCGTGCCCACTGATGCTACATAGTGCTCATGACATAGTGTCTCGTGTAGATGCACCCAGTATGGCCCTGACTTGATTACTGCCTGTGAATGCTACTGTTGTATAAATAGCATTAATTATTAAACCACTCCTTATTTCTTCCCTATTTCTTATTTTTGTTTTCTTCTGGTGAATTTTCCAGAGTCCAATTTATCAACAAAAAAAAAGAGAGAGAAAAGACAGTAAACAGTGCTTTGTGATTTTGATGCGAATCACTCACCCCGTACACGAAAACCATAATTGACTCTGCTAGTGCCAGTGGAAGTCAGAGAAGCATAGAACTGCATGCAAGTTTTCTAGTGGCGTGAGACAAAACATTTGTTTCACCTAGTGATCAAAGTCTTTTAAATTTAGCCTGCTGAGGTGTTTTTTTCCCCTCTCTCTATTTTGCGAACATGACAAGGACAATCATCAGTCTTGTCTACCTTAGCATATTCTAGATCCATTTTTCAGTAATGAGCATGACTATAGAATCAGTTTTTGTGCTAGCTGGTGTAGGTGCATTTCAGATGTTTTCAGTGCTGTATGAAAACATTCCAAGTTGGGACATTTGAGGTCTATCCATGTTAACGTGGATATGTTGTCAACACAGATACAGCTGTTTGCATTGTGGACAACAAGTATAAAATGTGCAAGTGTCAGCTATAGCTCTACTAGTCTTTT